GTTGCTGTCGTTGTCCATGAATCTGCAACAGCTCAATAAGCTGTGCTGTGGGATGGAGTGGCTGCGTAAGGAAAAATAGAAACGGTGATCATTTTTTTGGAGTTGAGAATTCACAAAAGGAGTGAGAAGCGGGCTCAAAAATGGTCCGGAATTCGGGCCCGGTTTTAGTGCTCTGAGTATTGGCATATTTTTCGAGGGCTCAGAAAACGGTCCCATTTTGGGTCCTGCATTTTGGTGCTGGCGAACCACTTTTCGAGCTCATTTTTGGAATCGCACAATCTGGACGCGGAGCGACCATTTCTTCAGCAACAAGCAGCCGGAGAGCTCCAAAGTGTAGCCAGTTAATGCTTGTCTTGAACACGTATTCGTTTCAAAGAATCAAGTTGAAACTTGCTGCACTCTTACCAAGCGCAGCGCCAACAGTCTTTTCAGCGAGCTCTGGTCTGGACGGACCCCAGAGGTCCTACCGGTGGTGGTGGCGCGCTGGACGGACGATAAACAGCGCCTCTGCTCTGCCTGCAATAGAACGGTCACCCTGCCAACCTGTCTCACATTTTGCTCCTTTTGGCTTTACCGGGAGAAGGCGGTAAGACGTAGTTCCTGGGGTTCTGACAGACCCCAAGAGGTGAGTGCATGCGCAGGCTTACCCGCCGTATTTTGCAGTTGACCCAGCATGTTTGAAAAAGTTTCTTGCCCGGACCACAAACGTGGGGCACGGAGTGGCTGAAGCTGTAGCACTTGCTACGAATTCGTTGCTCCATGCGACGTTTTAGTAAATCAGACTAGGAAACGCTGGTATAGTTTGAAGCAAGTGAAAACGTTTCAGCGGCCCTGCAGGAGGGTTTAGGACAATAGCAACCCGCGTGCTTTTAGTTGAAACCGCACGTTTGATGTTGTGTGTTGGGTTTAACGTTTTTTGCGGATGCGGTGTGGAATGAAACATAACAGAGAACATGTTCGGGGCCCAAAACCGCCCAGTCCACTTATGTGTTGTGATGTGGTCGTGGCCTCCAAACGCCTTGATGTGGCCTGAAAATCACAGTTTGTGGCTCTGATGTGGCTTGAGAAATCCACGCGTTTGTGGCTCTGATGTGGCCGTTTTTGGCCTCTTGTGGCCTCAAAACCAAACGTTTGTGGTCGGATGTGGCCTCCAAGCCGCACGTTTGTGGCCCTGATGTGGCCTGAAAACCACACGTTTGTGGCCTCTTGTGGCTTCAAAGCCACACGTTTGTGCCCCTAACATGGCCTGAGAACCACACGTTTGTGGCCTGTCGTGGCCTCTTGTGGCCTCAAAACCACACGTTTGTGGCCTGTTGTGGCCATGTTGTGGCCTCGCTGGCTAGTTTTCCCAAGGAAAAATCGCATTTGTGGCCGCAGGGACTCGGAACCCTATAACACTATTCAAGGGTCCCCACACGCAGCAGACTGCGACATGAGGCACCAGATCAGAATTTTAGTCCAGTGTTTGTCCCAAGTCGCTTGCCCTGACCCCGGAGAGCAAACCGAAATTGTAAGCTGCACAAGGCAAACTCATGTGGGAGCCTCTAAAGTATCCCGGACCTTGTCTCGACCTTCATTTTGACAGATTTGATGGGTTCATGTTCGAGACTGAAAAACCCTTCGAAAACGTGTGCGCCACACGGGCCTCCCCTGTTGGCGCTGCGCTTGGTAAGAATGCAGCAAGTTTCAACTTGATTCAAATACGTGTTCAAAACAAGCATTAACTGGCTACGCTTTGGAGTTGTCCGGCTTCATCTTGCTGAAGAAATGGTCGCTCCGCGTCCAGATTGTGCGATTCCAAAAACGTCCGTTATGTGTAGCATGTGTAATATGTGTGCTTAATTTGCACGTCAGACTATCTGCATGCTTGGCGAAAGCTTAGGTCGTCTTGCATTCCTCGGAAAGCTCGGAGGCAGGTGCAGCTTTTGGGGCGGCTGCGGTGGAGGCGGGCGGCGGCGGTGGGGCCGGCAAGAGAAACCAAGAACTCCACATTGTGACGTGGGAACAGCTGTTATCAAACTGGATTGGGGGCCTGTTCCTTCTTAGGACCGTCCGTTGTTTGGCAAGGCTGACCTTGGACGATTGCTCATCCAACCTCATCAAAATCAGAATGACTATCATTACCATCATGACTGGGCCGGACGACAAAGGTAGGCTGGAGCATTGAAGGTTGATACGATCCTCCAACCAGGTTTCTTCCTTCATTGAACTTAATGGCACAGGGACAGGAGCTTCTCTGCCCATATCATCTACTTCCAGGTGTCGCGCCAAACGCTTTCGAGTTGACCACGAAAACACCCGCAAACCACAGTATTTCAATGTTTGAAATCTCGTTGCCCAAAGCCCAGAGGCGCGAAGAGTCTATCAGTTCTGAACCCTTTTGGCTCAAGCAGTGGGCTCCCGCTTATCGTGCTGGTCCCAAAGGTTTCGCATAGATTGTGTTGGACCGCAGGCCTTAGAGCCTAAATTTTTCCAGAATCAAAATCATAACCATAAGGTAAAATCACCACCAGAATGAGGTTTTTCCAAGACCACCAGCGCTGACACCGGCCCTTAAACCTTAAACGCTAAACCGTTCATTCTGCTCCATGGCGAGTGTTCACCGACAAGCGGAACGTGACGGCTGCTCGACTCAGGGTGCAGAGACCTGGGAGTTTCTACAGTGAGCCTTATCGGTTTAGGGTTTAGGGTTTAGGGTTTAGGGTATAGGGGTGATGTTTATAGTGACCTTCAGTTCATTACGGTCTCGCGTTGAACTATGGGAGTGCGTGAATCCCACTGCGAACGAAAAGCAATCTTCCGTCAGATTCTCCCCTTCAGGTCCGGATCACGGCAAGCTTGTATCGAGAAGAAATGCTGCCACCTACCTCGGAACTCTGCTAACAGACACCATGGACAATGGAGTTGACATTTGCAACAGAATCGGCGACTGTATAGCTACATGCAGCCGGTTGTTCTGGAATAATACAAGAACATACAACAACAGCATAAAATTGAAAATTCAAGTGTCTTCAATGCTATCGTCCGTTCCCAAATGCTCCATGGGTTAGAGTGTGTGCAGCTAACCAACACCGAACTTACTACCCTAAATGCCTTCCAGAACCAATCGTTGCGCAGAACTTTACACATCCTACCCATATTCATTGATCGAAAGCAAACCAATGCTAGCATATATGATAAACATATGAAGCGAATAGTGGTTATGAGAAGATCATCTAGTCCAAGTTACATTCAAAACAGGCGAATTGACGCTTAGAGTTCCCATCAGGCAGGCCCAGAGCAGATTGAACCACTGAGGCTAATAATGGTTTTGATGTCAACCATGTACAGATCAAGATGAAATCAAATTGTGAGCCAGAAGTCGTGAAGGGTTTTTGGCTGTGTAGCATGAGGAATATACATCGGGCGCAGTCCCAAAGGCCATCGGCCTGTGGATTCATCCCTCGCGTTAGTCTCATCATCTTGGCTTGTGGAGCGTGGTGCCAGTTCCCTTTTTCTGTCTGGATCTTCATAGGGAATTGGGGAATGGATTATGGAGACTATTCTTGGGGATTATATAGGGATTACTATAGGGATCCATTCCCCTATTCCCTGCTAAGCACCAGACAGTTCTATTTTCATTGCAGCGCTAATTTTCGTTAACGTAACTTATCCTGTACGACTGCTGAACACGTCTCCCTGTCGTAGTGTAGCTTTGCTCAGATCAAAACATCAGTTATTCGTGTCTGATTCGATGTTTCTCGGTTCTGTACAAGCTTTGCACATCCTCAGATGTGACAGCCCCATGCATTCTTTCATGATTTCTGTTTCCTGCGTTCTCCAGGATCAGTTTTCGGCCAGATGGTCAGTAAAATGCATTATATCTACTATAGTACAGTATAGAATCGTATCGTCGAGTAGAGTAGAGTAGAGCAGCGTGGAGCAGAGTAGAGTCGAGTGGAGTAGAGTAGAGTTTATTGTTGCAATATTTTCGTGTATCGTAATGTAGTAATGTAGCATAGCAAGTTCTTGTGTGTTAAAATATATTATCGTATGCTTTTATAGTATACAACAGCAGGTTTTAGTATGTGACAGTATGGCCGTGAGTTGAGCCGAAAGGCCGCAAACGCAGCCCGAATTCACGCACTTTGAATGTCACACAGAATAGCTTTGTGTCAGGAACCGTCTCCTTCGGCAGCATTCGGGTACCGAAAGCAACCGCTCCAGCAAACTATGTAGTACTGTTGATGGACAAAGTCCTGCATTACCCGCTATAAGGAATATACCATAGTTCCCATAGTTTAGAGTCCTTAGGGTCATGCAGGATTTTGTCCATCAGCAGTAGCACGGCGAATCCCGGAAGCCTAGGTCTGGGGGGGCTTGGGTCACAGTCTTCGAGTATTGAGGTGGCGCTTTATCCCTCAGCTTCGGCGATGAGAGCACTTTCTTGATCAACCAGCCGAAGGCACTAAACACTTTTTTCAGCGCCTCCAGTTCCTCTAGCGGGTCTCGTAACAGGGCTTTGAAAGTCGAGGATCTTGGGGTTTATAGGAGCCACAGGCCTGGAATTTGCAGTGCTTTCGCGGAAAGTGGCTCCCTCGCCCGTCGCGGATGTGGCAATTTTTCTCGGTGAGGTTTGGGAAAGTCTTTCCATGTAGATCTGCTTGCGGGACGTGGAGTTGAGTTTGTTGACCCCATGGTGGTTGTGATGGTCACAGTGGTAGCGGGCATAGTAGTCGTCGCAATAGTGGAAGCCGCAGCACAAGTTCCGGCCACTTGTTTCAAATCCCAAAGCCAGAGCCCTGCAGAGCCCCAACATGCCCTGAGCTCCGCGAAGTCTTAAGTGGGAGTTTCCAAAAATAGGGGATCCCAATATACTACCCTAAATAGTAGGATCCTTATTATAGGGACCCCAAAACAAGGTACCCCTATTTTCTGAAACCCCCAAGTCCTAAGCCAAAGAAGCGGAGGCCAGCACCGTGTACTGCTGGCTGGCTGTTTCCGTCTTCACGCTCTTGGCCATGGTGGGATGGGGGTTTCCTGGCCGACGTAGTTCAGGGTTGAGGGCAGTTCGTGGGCCTTGAACAAAACGTGTTGAAGACTTTCGTTACATCCTTGCGGAGTAGAGCCAAAACCCTAAACCCTAAACCCCTAAATCCCGAAACCGTGAGTACCAAGAACCAGCTCAGGCTCCGGACAATGCACTTGACCGCGCCTATGGAAGATCCTCTAGCGAGGGCTTTGCCAGGCCTGGAGGGATCCCTCCGGCTCAAAGCCGTTTCGGTTTAGGGATTTTAGGGATTTTAGGGATTTTAGGGATTTTGGGGGTTTGGGGTTTAGGGTTTAGGGTTTAGGGATTTTAGGGATTTTGGGGATTTTGGGGGTTTAGGGTTTAGGGATTTTAGGGATTTTAGGGATTTGGGGGTTTAGGGTTTAGTGATTTTAGGGATTTTAGGGATTTGGGGGTTTAGGGTTTCAACACGTGCCGGCCAGGTTTCTGGAAAGGTATGGGTCAGCGTTGGTCTGATCAACGTTGGTTCCATGTGTCCCCTGGAGCCCTAAATCATCCTACACCCGAATCATGTGGGTAGTTGTCAAAAATAGGGTCCATTTTTGGGCACCCTAAATATTAGGTGCCGTATTTTATTAGGGACCCAAAAGGGACCCTAAATTTTGACAACCACCCATGTGAGGCTTACTCTACTTCGCCATTTTGGTGGAGCGTTCCTGTCACTTCTCGTGGAACTCAGGGGGCGTCGTGGTCTTTGGCATGGCGTTCCTGCCGTGGGTGGCACTCTCGAGTTTCCATAGCGAGCACTGCTTCTGGATGAGTGCGTTTGAATTCTATTTGATTTATGATTTTCTGTTGCATTCACAGACGTTTCCAAAGACTTGCGTTGCCATGTGTGGATTAGATCGCCTCGGGTCCAAGGCTATTGGACGCATATGGGGCAGGCTGGTCTGTGCCTCCTTGGCGTGTATATCGCCACGCCGGAGCACAGAAATAGAGAGCAGACTCATTTCTGGTAGCCGGTCGGCAGTCTTGGAGTTTGGAGTGTACCTTATTTTGGGGGTCCTTATAATAAGGATCCTATTATTTAGGGTTTAGGCTTTAGGGACGCGAGGTAGGAAAAGTCTTGAGGCCCGAAGCAGTAAGGCAACCTCGGATTTCCTCTCGGTATGCAGATGGCTTCATACTTTGCTTTTTCGCTTTGGCACTGACTTGGATCATGGAAATTGCGGAGCTCTGGAGCTCAAGAGATGCTACATCTCCTAGCTTGCTATGGTTTGCGCTCTCCGCGGCCCCTGGCATTGTCATTCTGCTTCTGGGCCTCCGGCACATTTTAGAGGCCCTTCTCCGTGGGAATCCCTTGCAGGAGGTGTGCAACTGGGCGTTTCTGCAACCGGTTTATGGCGCAGCAGCGGTGGTTGGAGTGGTCATTTGGCTCTTCTCTCTCCCCTTCCTTCTGGAGCACGGCGATTCGGGAGACTGGTGGATGTTCCTGCTAATGGAGCTTCCTGTCTTGCTTGGCTTCCTGGTTTTGGCATCAATGTCAATGATCTCCAACTACTTGCCAAGCCAGCCCAAGTCAAAGGACTTGTTAAACGACTTGTTGCCACCCGAGTGGACGAGCACATTGGTGAGAACATGGGAGAGTCCACTCCTGCCGATTTTCCTCAGTCTGGGCATCATCGCGGGTATCCCGGCCTTGGTGATGTTCGGTGCTGGAGGCTTCTCCAAGGATGCTTGGCCAAAGCACATGCAGACTAGCGAGTTCTGGCAGCAGATGTTGTTCTGGACCTACGTCCTGTCTGTGGCGCTCGTGGGCATCGGCATCGGCGCAGCCGTCCTTGCAAAGTCACGTTTCAGAATCTCCAAGATAACCCTTGAAGACAAGATTCTGGGTTCGTGTTGAGGAAATTGATTTAAGCTGCCATAATAAAGAAGGCACATTATTTTCTGCGGATCCCTATTATGGTAATATAGGAACCTGATTAAGAAATCCTGGGCCGACAAGCCCCCAAAATAGTAGGATTCATAAGAGGAGCCCTGACAAAGGCCCACGGTTTCTTAGTCAGGTTCCTACATTATTATAGTACCCGTATAGATCCCTTATAGTAACCCTTTAAAAGGAACCCTAATGGTAGCTGAAACTCGTTGCTTCATACTGTTGATGGACAAAATCCTGCATTACCCATTATAAGGAATATACCATAGTTTGCATAGTTTAGAGTCCTTAGGGTCATGCAGGATTTTGTCCATCAGCAGTAGCACGGCGAATCCCGGAAGCCTAGGTCTGGCGCTTTAAAGGAACCCTAATGGTAGCTGAGACCCTAAACCCTAAACCCTAAACTCGTTGCTTCATAAGAACCCCCCAGGATTGCCTTCGTGCTGGTCTTTGTTCTGCTGGGGGTCGTCGGCCCCCCGGCTGCCCACGGCAGTAATGAGTTTAGGGTTTAGGGATTTAGGGGTAAGGGCTTAGGGTTTAGGGCTTCGGATTCGGGGTGACAGGCCCAGGGTTTCTCAATCAGGTTCCTACAGTACTGATTGTGTTGGCTCCCGGGTTTTCTGCCGCGAAAGGGCAGGAGAAGGATAGTCTAATGATGGCTTACTTGGAGGGGCAGGGCACTTAGTAAGTAGGTTATAAGTAGAGTTATAAGTACCCTAACTGGAGTTATGCCAATCATAACCCTACTTATAAACGACTCACTAAGTCCCCTGCCCCTCCAAGTAGAATCCTAAAAACTCAGGAGTTTGGCTAATGACAGATGTGGAGACGTACATGCTCAAGGCCGTTGCTTGGGCCCGACCTAGCATTCCGGACCTCGATCCTTTGGAGTACGTCAAGGCAGCTCGGAGAGAGTTTAGAGTTTAGGGTTTAGGGTCATCTCCGGTAGGGTTTTGGCCCTGCTATGTCCAAGGTGCAGATCATCCCACCCAAGGTCGAACAGAAGGAGGATGGATTAAAGTTCATCGAGGTCCCCAGTGAAGGTTTCTGGCCCAACAGCACAGACATGGAAAGCATGCGTGCCCAGAAAGCAGATCACAAAAGGTGCTGGTTCTTTCTCCCATGGATGGCCGTGAAGTACATCTCTTTCGTCTTCATGTTTGTGTGTATCCTCGGGCTGAAGCCATGCTGCTGCCAGGGCTCTCAAGGCAGTACAAGGGAGGAAGCACTGAAAGGATCCATCGAGTCAAACTACGTGCCGCTGCCCCGGACGTCCAGAGCCAGCGGGGCCGAGCAGCAGGCGGGAGCAGAAGGCAGCTTTTCCGAAGTTTCAACACCGCCAAAGGCCGACAGGGCCAAGAAGCCGAAGGCTGCCGCAAGTCGCATGGTATCTTTGGAATGCTGTCTTTGTGGGTCCTTGGGACATATTTGCGAAGATAGGCTTGAAGATGGGGCTTCCTTCTCTCTTCTGGAAACCTTGAGGTAGGGAGGAGTTCTTCAAATTCACCGGTTTCATGATCCTGCGTTTCGTGATCGGTGGACAGCTGGTCTTGGTGTGCAAGCCTCTTGGACTTGACTTGAGCTTCGGATGTAGAAGTCAGAGATTAGGGAGAGGGCGTGTGATCTGAAGTGAAACTTGAGTTGAATGCTGTTTTACCGGGGGAAGCCCGGGAAGCCCTCCGCCGCCGCCGCCACTGCCACCGCCACAGCCGCCTCCACCACCACCATCACCACCGCCACTGCCCCGTGCATGCTTCTATCACTTTCAGTGCAGCAGCACCACCACCGCTCCCACCTTCCCACCCAGAGACTCTAATAACCCTTTATTAAGGAATATTCCTTAAATCATATTAAGGGTCCTACTATAATTTAAGGTATATTCCTTAAATCATATTAACTCTAACTTAAGGTATATTCCTTAATTAAGGGGTATTGGAGTCTCTGGGCCTCGGGGCATCTTCCCCCAATTTTCATCGCCATCGCTACCAAGGCTAAAAACCCTAAGCCTTAAACCCCTAAACCCTAAACCCCTACACCCGAAACCCTAACCTCGCTACCAAGGCTAAGTGTCACTGCCTGCCGGGGTGGTCAGCTCTCAGCGGATCAGGGCATGGCCTGGGAAGGTTTCTTGGCGGGGAAGCAGTAGTAGTAGCAGTAGTAGTAGCAGTAGTAGCAGCAGCAGCAGCAGCAGTAGTAGTAGTAGTAGCAGCAGCAGCAGTAGTAGTAGTAGCAGCAGCAGCAGTAGTAGTAGTAGTAGTCGTAGTGGTAGCAGTAGTAGCAGTAGTCGTAGGTTTTTAGGATTTTTTATTAGTAGGGTGCTCCCAGCCCCGTAGCTTGAGGTCTGCTCCAATCCCTCGAGGAAGCCAAGTTGGAACCAAAACCCTAAGCCCTAAACCCCTAAACCCCTAAACCCTAAACCCCTAAACCCTAAACCCTAACCCCTAAACCCTAAACCCGAACCCCTAAATCCCTCAACCCTAATCCCCTCCACGCAAGTTGGAGCCAAGCCTTGTAGCCTGAGCGTCCGACCTTGGGCTCGAAGCCGCCTCCAACGAGAGTCGAGGGTTTAGGGTTTAGGGGTTTAGGGTTTAAAGTTTAGGGTTTACGGTTTAGAGTTTAGGGGTTTAGGGGTTAGGGGTTTAGGGTTTAAAGTTTAGGGTTTACGGTTTAGAGTTTAGGGGTTTAGGGTTTTGGGTTTCAAGTTCAGGGTTTAGGGTTTAGGGTTCGAGGCTATGACCTTTGCTTGACTGCCGGCTTGCTTTGGTTCCTGGCACAAGCGCTGGCCCTGCGCGGCATGGATTCTTCTTCGCCGAAAGAGTATGCGCTCTGGGGTCTTGGGTTTCAGATATTGGGTCTGGGTTCGGGTTTTTCATGAGAGCACTTTCGTAGGATTCTAGGCTTTGCAGTCTTGACTGGATTTGGGTAGTTGTCCAAATTAGGGTCCCTTTTTGGGCATCCTAAATATTAGGTGCCGTATTATAATAAGGACCCAAAAAGGGACCCTAATTTTGACAACCACCCATTTGTTGTCTAAACTTAAGGGCTCGGTCTTCTCAAGAACGAAGCTTCGAAGGATTGGTCGGCCACCTACAACTGCGGGGACGTGGCTTTGGCTACGCTGCCCTTGTGGCCATTCGTGGGAGCACCTTGGGCAGACGGGATTTCCAACAATTCTGCCCGTTCTGTGTCGAAGACAAGGATTTTTGGATCTCGAGCTACACCGAAACAGAACTCAACGATACCCTAAACCCTAAACCCTAAACCCTAAGCCCTAAACCCTAAACCCTAAACCCTAAACCGTATGCTGTTCAAGTTATATACTAGGCTTCTTGATGCCCAAAAGGCATGGTATGACACCTTGAAGGATTCCATGGTGGCTGCGCTGGCTATGTCTTCCGGTGATTTCGTGATATCTCTACTAGGCCTGCCCGGCCCCAATCTATCGAAACCCCGGTGGGCCCAGAGGGAGCTACTTGCAGTAGGGTTTAGGGTTTAGGGTTTAGGGGTTTAGGGGTTTAAGGTTCAGGGTTGTGCGGGTTTGGGGGGTTAGGGTTTGGGGTTTAGGGGTTTAGGGTTTAGGGTGTAGAGGTACCCTCCAGGCTTTCTTTCGATGTCTTGGCTGGTGTTCCTGCATATGGTTGTCTGGTTGGACAAAGGTGTCAAGCAGATACAACTGCAGAAAGACTTTCTTGGATTCTTCCTCCTACACAAGAAAATGGACGACAACAAGCAACTACGATCAGTGCCTGAAACAGATGGTCGCTGTTCCCAGCTCAGCAACAAGATCCTAGTGGTTCTGTACGAGCAAACTACACCCAGTCGTCGATGGGGGATGATCACCGAAGACACCCCGCAGGGGTTGATGGCGGTCTTCCTTGCCGTGAGAGCCGGTGCAGTATCCACTTTCTTGTTAATCTTAAACGTTGCAATCCCTGCAGCTCGTCTCATCTTTGCGTCTTTGTGCCATGATTACCTTGCTCAGAAAGTCCCTCACTGGCTCTTCCGAGAGGCAGTTCTTGCGCAGAGAGCTGGGAATGAGAACCTCTGTGAGCAGTTCGTGAAAGGTCTCTGCAGAGTCGACAATGATGACTTTCTGCACAGAAAATACGTGGACGAGGATCAGCAGAAGAAGCTTGGAGAAGAGGCCAAAGAAGCTCTCAAAGATTCCGACAGCATCTTCTATAGCTGGCTACGGCTGCAAGAAGCGAGCCGAGAGCTAGCGGCATGCAAAGATGTGCAGCTGGAGTTGGACTTGCGGCAATTTCAGGTGCTGCTTCTGGATGCCCATTCGGTGCAACATTTGTGTTCTTCAAGAAGTATGTCGAAACTATCAGATTTACTAGTCTTGAGTGTTTCCAGACTTTTAGAATTTAAACTTGAACATTAGTCCAGATTGACTAGAATATGCCCTGAACCCTAAACCCTAATGAATTCAGCACAGCCCAGGTTCCATGTCAGTGACGGAGTGTATGCTCTAGAGAGACACCTCGGACTCCTCGGCGGCAAGAAGCCCGAATCGCTCCTGCTGACAATCCCAACGAGGGAAGCATTTCTTGCCCTGGCTGCAACAAGGAGCTCAAGACTTCCTCCAGTTCGGCTTTTCAGGGTTCCTATAAGGTTATTAAGGGTTCCTACAAGGTTATGGGGCTTAGGCGTATGGGTCTAGGGTTTGGGGCTTAGGGTTTGGGTTTAGGATTAAGGGTTTAGGGTTTTACGGTTTAGGGTTTAGGGTTGCTTGTGAGGGTTTTCAGGTTTAGGGCTTGGGGTTTGGGGTTCAGGGTTGAATGGTGTCCCGAGCGAGGTCGTTCGAACTCGAAGGTTTGAAACGTTTGAAAGTTTGGAGGTTGAAGCTTGAAAGTTTCAAACTTTGAAGGTTTGAAGTTTCGAAAAGTGCCGGAGCTCGAAAGTCTGCACCTTGGCAGCCTGGCATGCACAAGCTAGCCGGCGTCAAAGTTCGAACTTTTCCAACGCGAAACTTTCAAACTTTCAGTCTCTCTAACTCTCGAACTGTCCAGCTCGAGTGGCTGCTTTGCACCTTCGATGGTTTTGAAAGGTTGGCCTCGGATTCGATCTGCGGCTTGTGGCTGAGGTTGCGAGTTTGAGATCTCGAAGGCTTCAAACTTCGAAAGGTTTCAAGTTCAATTATTTGAAAGTGTCAAAGATCGAAAGCTTGAAAGGGATGAAAGTTCGTGGGTTTGAGATTTCGAAAGATTGAATGTTTGCAAAGTTTGAAGCATTTCCCTTGAAGAATTAGTACGCGTCGAGATGGAAAGTTCGAAAGTCCGCCGAGTTCCGAGCTAGAAAGTTTGAGAGTTTGAAAGTTCGAGAATGAAAAGTTTCAGAGTTTGGAGAGCCCGACATGCAAGCTCAATAATATGTCTTAAACAGGAGTTTCCGAATATGGGGACCCTAATATAGTAACCCAAATAGTAGGATCCTTATTATAAGGACCCCCCAATTTTCGGAAACTCCCAAATACACCTTCTCTTTGGGCGATTCCGGTTCACCGCATATCTTAAGCATCCACACTCATCTGCCGATTCCGGTCTTCATAGCGCCTCACCATATACCTTAATTATGGCCCCATTTGGCGATTCCGGCACACCGTATATCTTATTAAACAGACCCCCTCATTTAGCATGTGCGGTTCATCGTATTGCGCTTCCTCATTCGGCTTTGTCGGTTAGTTATATGTCTTCAATCACGCCTTCTCTTTTGGCGATTCCAGTTCACCGTATATCTGAAACACGCGCCCTCATTTAGTGATTTCGGTTCATCACATATATATATATATACACACATAAGACACGCTCCCTCATTTAACGGTTCCGAACAGCATACCGGTGCGCCATATATCTTAAGCACACCCCCTGATTTGGCGATGCCGGCTCAGCAGGTAGTAGCAGTAGTAGTAGTAGTAGTAGAAGTAGTAGTAGTAGTAGTAGTAGTAGTAGTAGTAGTAGCCGCCACGGCTCAGACGCTCGGAAAGCTTGGCGTAGGCTTTCGAACAGGCTCTGGGCGCCAACCCTTCGTTGCTAGAGGTTCCGAACAGGCTCCTTTTCGAACGACTAAGGGTTGGTCCCATACGCTGAGCCATGTGCCTTGCGCTTATTGCATGCGTCTGAGCCGCCACGTCCCAATTCCTGGACCCAGTCCCTTGTCTTACCACGGGCCCAGGCGGTAGGGTCTCCACTTTCCGCGTGGTGGAGGGAGTCACTCGTCTTGCCCTGTGACGAAATGGCGGATGGCGATGCTCCCAGTGCACTCACAAAATTATTCTCGGATTAAGAAGAAGTCTCCGAAGCATGTTTGCAATTAAACTGCTGTCAGTCAGCGGCCTCTGTTTTATCGTGGTCGGTCTTGACCCCAACTTTGCTCAGGCGAATGGGCAACTGCCCACCACCGCCTGGCCCCAAGAAGTCTAGCGCCCAGCGATCTCGAGCAGGCCAGGCGACCAAGCCCATCAGAGTCCTGTCATGGCATGCC